TTATTGTTACTATCTGTATTCTTATTACTGTCATTCTGCCATCCTCTGTGTTATGAATTATTTACTGCGGGTCTGCATCTTCTCATGATAGCTGCTACCGTTCGTGTTTCTCGAACGGCATTCGGCCAATCCCGTCACCGTGCCTGGGTTGTGGGTCAGAGTTCTCAGGGATGCTTCTTGGGGTCTCTTCGGAGCGCTCTTGGTGCCAGTTTTGGGGCCTCGCGGGAGCCTCTTGAGGGCCTCGTTGGTCCTCTTGGTGGCCTCTTGGGGCCTCTTTGGGGCCTCTCAGGGGGCCTCCTGGGGGCCTCCTGGCGCCTCCTGGGGGCCCCTCGGGGGCCGAAGGCTCCAACTCTTGGACCGTCTTGGGCGCCTCTTGGACCGTCTTTGGGCCGTCGTGGGGCCGTCCTGGGGCCCTCTTGGGGGCCTCTGGGGCCGTCTTGGGGCGATCTTGGGGGCCTCGTGGGTCGTCTTGCAGCGTCGGGGAGCCGAAGAGGCGAGAAGGCCCAAGTCTTCCAACAACCGAAGGGAACACATGTTTGCTTCTTTCGGCTCTCGTAGGAGGCCCCTTGGGGCGTCTTGCAGGCCTCTTGAGCCGTTATGGGGTCTTCGAGAGTGTTTTAGAACGATTTTCCAGCGAATCGAGGCCCTCTGGGACCAATTGGGGTGGGCACGGCTTCCAGAGGACCAGCAGGAAACCACCCAGAACTTACGGGAGCCAGCCCGGAAAACCGTGGAACGGCTTGGGAAACGATTGGCCCAGGCCCTCAAGGACTTACAGCTCTTGCTGCAGCAGCAGCACAGCCTCGGCCTCTCACTTCCGCACGAGCCTTGGGGCACTCCACGTCGTGCCAGAGGCACGATGGCGGATTACTGGAGGCGTATACGCGATCTTGCCCAACGAGGAGCGGAGAAAGCCAACTCAAGTCGCCAAGCTGAGGCAGGACTTGCTTGCAGCAACTGCGTTTGGCATGGGCATCGGGGGCCCTGGGCCTGCCCGTGCGCGCGGGCCCTTCGACGCGGGAGCCTCCCAGGATGCTTCTCGGGGGAAGCTTGGACTCGACGTGCACGGCGCTCCTTCGTCTTAGCATTATTGTCATTACTATACTGTTATGCTCATCATTATCAGCATTAGTATTACATGTATCATTGGTACTATCGTAGTAGTAGTAGTAGTAGTAGTAGTAGTAGTAGTAGTAGTAGTAGTAGTAGTAGTAGTAGTAGTAGTAGTAGTAGTAGAGTAGTAGTAGTAGTAGTAGTAGTAGTAGTAGTAGTAGTAGTAGTAGTAGTAGTAGTAGTAGTAGTAGTAGTAGTAGTAGTAGTAGTAGTAGTAGTAGTAGTAGTCGTAGTAGTAGTAGTAGTAGTAGTAGTAGTAGTAGTGGTAGTAGTAGTAGTAGTCGTATTCGTATTAGTAGTAGTAGTAGCAGTAGTCGTAGTAGTCGTAGTAGTAGTAGTAGTAGTAGATGTAGATTATTAAGTAGTAGTCGTCGTAGTAGTAGAGTATAAGTGCAGTAAGTAAGTAGTGTAGTAGTAGTAGTAGCATAGTTAAGTGTGTGGTGTGTTGTGTTGGTGGTGGTGTGGTGTATTGGTAAGTGGTAGTAGTGGCAGTAATTAGTAGCAGTAGTAGTAGTAGAAGTAGTAGTAGTAGTAGTAATAATAATCGTAGTAGAAGTAGTAGTAGCAGTAGTAGTACTAGCAGCAGCCGTAGTGATAGTAGTCGTAGTAAGTAGTAGTAGTAGTAGTAGTAGTAGTAGTAGTAGTAGTAGTAGTAGTAGTAGTACTCGTAGTAGGAGTAGCAGTAGTGCTCGTAGTAGTAGTAGTAGTAGCAGTAGTAGTAGCAGTAGTAGTAGGGTGGTAGTAGTAGTATAGTAGTAGCCGTAGTAGTAGTAGTAGTAGTAGTAGTAGTAGTAGTAGTAGTAGTAGTAGTAGTAGTAGTAGTGTAGTAGTAGTAGTAGTAGAGTAGTAGTAGTAGTAGTAGTAGTAGTAGTAGTAGTAGTAGTAGTAGTAGTAGTAGTAGTAGTAGTAGTAGTAGGAGTAGGAGTAGGAGTAGGAGTAGGAGTAGTAGTAGTAGTAGTAGTAGTAGTAGTAGTAGGTGTTGTTGTTGTTGTTGTACTCGTAGTCGTAGTAGTAGTAGTAGCAGCAGCAGCAGCAGCAGCAGCAGCAGTAGTAGTAGTAGTAGTCGTAGTAGTCGTAGTAGTAGTAGTAGTAGTAGTAGTAGTAGTAGTAGTAGTAGTAGTAGTAGTAGTAGTAGTAGTAGTCCCCATCATCATTATCATTCGTATTATCAGTACGCTTACTATTAGTATGATAATTCTTTTTCTTCTGAGTGTTATTGTTCTTGTTGCTAGTATTACAATTCTTCTTCTTGCAGCAGACACAAACGATACGATATCTTGGTTGAGAATCATTGGGGCGGCTTCTTCGTCGGTTTCGAAGGGCCTTCCTAGGATGCCCTGAAAACCTCTGCGGGGCCCACGGGGCCGGGCAGGGGATCAGGAAGTTGCGCGGGGGGCACCGGCTGGCAGGCCGGTGTACTGTTTGACGTGCCCTACGGCGAAGGCGCCGAGAAATTTGGGCTCCAGGGGGTCTCTGGGCGTCGGGCCGCTCCTTATCGGAAACTGAGGCACGGACATTACCAGAGGCGGGATGTTTTTCAATCCCAGGACTTTTCTCTGGGTCGGGGACGGCGTTGGGGTGGTGTGGTGCATACTTGTTGCTCCCCGTTATCCTTGGGGAAGCAGCGACAAATATACACACCAGGGTCCCGTATACACCAGGATCCGCTTCCCTGTGCAAGTTTTAGTGCAGGGCCGGAAAAAGCGTCTGTGTATAGAGTTCGGTTCCCTACCTTAGATTTAAGTCGGGCCTCTCCGTCTACAGGAGGACTATCCCAGAATAGTCCAAAAATCGTATGGGACGATTTTCTGGTTATCTTTTGAGCACTTCGATTTTTTTCGACTATTAGTTTACTTGTTTTTTCGCCCAAGATCTTCCTCAGGGCCCTAGAGGGGGATTAGATCCAGGCCCGACGTGGCCGACCTAGAGGGGGGCATGCCCAACTTGAGGGGGGCCCTAGCGAGCGGGTCCCTAGAGGAGGATCAGAGCCAGGCCCGACTAGAGGGGGGGCATGCCCGACCGAAGCTTAGCTCCAGGCCGGTGGACTTGCCTGTGGCCGAGGCCCGCCGTGGCCGGTGGACTTGCTCGTGCCCCTTCTCGCTCGGCGGTGGCCTGTGGCGCCTCTCCCCGGGGCGCCCAGAGGCTGCGCCGTGCTCCCATCGGCGTCACCCCAACATACTTCTACTCTATGTGCGTCGCCCCCCCAGGGGCGACGCGCGCACCGAAAAATCTTAGAGCATACTCGTCGTGGCGGGCGCATTCTGGCCGCACCGCTCGGGAAACGATATACTACAATATGGGTATACTGTATACTATATGTTTGGGTCGGACGCGCGCCTCCAAGGAGAACATATAGTACCAGTATGTCTTTGTGCATCCCATCCCAGACTTATTATGTCGGGCTTGTCCCTCTACAGGAGGAATATGTAAAAGTAACCCAGATATAGTCTGGGGAGGATTTGTTGACTATTTTTGATCATTTTGGAGTATTTGTTCTGACTATTTCTTAATTGTTCGTTCAAGATCCCCCTGTAGGAGGACATGCCCGACCTAATCCCACACGTCCGATGATAGGAGCTGTCCACGGCATCGACCCCCAGAAGTCAGCGGCGAGCGAGGGGGGGAAAGCGAGAAGGAGAAGGCCTTCTCAAGAGGCTGCGGGACTTCTCAGGAGTCCTCGCGCCTTCTGGGAAGTTGTCTGTGTCTTCGGGGAAGGCCTAGAAAGCTTCTCAGAGGGCCAGGGGACTTGCGAACCTTCTGAGAAGGCCTTCTCCTTCTCACTTCCCCCTCTCGCTCGCCGCCGAATATGAACTGTCCACAGCGTCGACCCCCAGAAGTCTCGACCCATCCCCCTGGACCGGCGTTTCATTCTGAGTCGTTCTTGACGGCCCCGAGGCCTGGCAAGGGCCCAGAGGGGCCGAAGATAGCTGGAAAAAACGTGTCCTCCGTGCTCTTTCACGACGGCCGTCCCCGCGCGCTCCCCGCGGCCCCGCTGCGTGAGAGTGCCCCCGCGCTCCTGTCCCCCCTTTGCGGCCGCCCTCTCTCCTCCTTCAGGAGGGCAATGATCGGGTTGGGAGGATGGGGCTGGGAGAGACGACCACATCATCCTTGTTATCGTGTGTGTCGAGTGTGCTTTTTTGCACGGTCGTGCCCCGTATCCTCCCAATCCCAGCCTCCCAACCCGATGGTTGTCTTTCTGGCTCCTCTCTCCTCTCTTGCACGCGGGCCCATTCGCGACTCCGTAGCCCCGTGTTGCTCTTCGCGCGAGCGCATTGCCTCTGCCGCGCGAGCGACTTGAAAGTGTGTTGTTCACGACGCGAGGGGGTCTGGGCTTTCTTCGCGTTTCTCATTGCAGTCATAGGGGATCGAGAGAGAGAGAGAGAGAAAAGAGAAACAAAAAAGAGAAACAAGAGAGAGATGCAGTGGAAACGTATGCCAAGAAGCACCCTGCTTGCCTCCAGGGTGCCCTGGGTTTCTTGGGTTTCGATGGTTTTGCTGTGGGAAGCGCGAAGCTCCCACACCAAAAATTAGTGGACGTCCTGGGGTCTCGTGGTTGGGTCTCTTGTGATACGTTTCTTGTGGCCGCTGTAGGCGCTGTGGAGGTGGAGGAGGAGGACGAGGAGGAGACGGAGGAGGAGGACGAGGAGGAGGAGGAAGACGAGGAGGACGACAAAGAGGAGGAGGAGGAGGAGGAGGAGGAGGAGGAGGAGGAGGAAGGAGGAGGAGGGATGAGGATGAGGAGGATGAGGGAGGATGAGGAGGAGAAGGAGGAGGAGGAGGAGGAAGAGGGGGAGGAGGAGGAGTTGGAGGAGGAAGAGGAGGAGGAGGAGGAGGAGGAGGAGGAGGACCCAGTGGTCGAGCTCCTGCTGTGGGAGAGCGCGCGGCGGCGAGGCTGGATCGGGGGGCAACAGCGTGCTGAGCGAGGCCGCCCCGGGCGGCTTCCCGCACTACCAGGCCCAGGGGGGCGCGCGGGCCTCTGCGGATAGGAATGCAAGCCGGCATACATGTTCCCAGACAGGATCGCGTCGTAAAAAATCAGGACGGGCGGTTTTTCACAATTTTCGACCCCTGGGGGCCCTCGCCGGCCTCCGGGACCGTCAAAAAAAGATTCAGGATGAAAAACCGGCCCTGGGGAAAGGGTCTGGACTTCCAGGGACGCCGTCCTGAAAAAATCAGGACGTCGCATGTCTGGATTTGCGTCAGCGGCTAGGCAGGGTCACTGCGCTGGCGAAGGGCTACCTAAACGGGGGTACCGTTGAAGCGAATATTGTGCCTCCGTGCAGGACGGGGGGAGGGAGGGAAAAGCAGAGGACGCGGCCGAAAGCAGGGGCGGAAGAAGCGAGCCGCCCAGGGGGACGGGTCATGCCCCGAGCGTGTGACGCGGCCGGCCCCGCCGGCGGGCCCAGCAGACCGGCATGCATGAGCCATCGGCCGCTGAAAGTAGGCGTGTCTTCAGATGAGGGAGAGGCACGGATGCTCCTACCTTTTCGCCTCGTCTTCGCCAGAAAGGTACCCATACCGCTACCGTTCGCCCGTTTTCCTCCTTTTGGGGGCCTCCTGGGTGGCCCTCGTCGCCACGGCCGGATTCGCTTCGAAGTCCTGGTCAGGAAGCACACCTGGAGAGGTCCAGGGTCCAGGGAGCAGCGGTCGCGGTATCTGCTGGTCTCCCAATGCTGGGGTTCCCGGGTTCCGATCTACTTTAGGCGCCTCCTTCTCCTCCTCCTCCTCCTCTTCCTCCTCCTCCTCCTCCTCTTCTTCTACTCCTCCTCCTCCTCCTCCTCCTCCTCCTCCTGCTTTTCCCTCCTCTTTTAGACGGGGGCGGGCGGAGGCCCAATCTGCTTTCATCGCCTTCCTGGTTTTGTGTTTCTGCCCACTTCTTCCCACCGATGAGTGCGGGCGGGACCGACGGGGCTAGGACGAGGACAAGTCCGTTCCAGGGCGTTCCCGAGCGATGTCGATGTATCCTCGATTTATCCTCGCCGGATCTCAGAGATTCCAAATTTGTCCTCGCCCGAATTTGTCCTCGTCCTGGCCTCGTCTTCGAGGGCAAGTGTTCGCAGGGGCCCAGCACGGGCGCAAGAATCGCAGGGCACCAAGGGATACACTTACAGCGGTCCGGCCGAGTCTGGTCGGAACCTGGAGCACATACATTACAGTCAACCCGCATAGTGAGGATGGGCAACCTTCCCAAGGGTACACATTGTTCATTTCTAAGTGTTCGAAAGTTCTTCGATCTTGGGGGGGCCAAGATCCTTTCATTTCTAATTGTTCTGTCCTGGGCCTCTTCCTGGCCACTAGGGGGCCAGGAACAATTAGAAACGAGCACACATAGAAATGAGCACGATTAGAAATGAACGACGTGTACCCTTGCATCCTTGTGCCTCCGCGGCCCATCCTTGACCGCTTTCGTTGGCCGCGCCCCGCTGGTGAAGCTTCGAGATGGGCGTCCAAGGCCCTTGCATCCTTATCGAGCGTCCTTATGATACGGGTCGACTGTACCAGTGGCGGGCTGTTTTTCAATCCCAGGACTTTCCGAGGGTCGGGGACGATGTTGGGGTGGTTTGGTGTGTACTTTTTTCCGTTTCCCCGGGGAAACAACGAAAATTGTATACACCAGGATCCCGTATACACCAGGATCTCCTATCATGTGCGAATTTCTGTTCGGCTGGAAACTGCGTCGGTGTATAGAGTTCGGCTCCTTGTCTGGGCCCACGATTGGTGCAAACGCTTTTCTTTCCAAGACAGGGGGACGTATACAGTCACGGCGGTGCCACACGATCCAGCTCGGGTTCGGCAGGGGGCTTGGTGGTCCCCTGGGCCTGCCTGCATTCGGCGTTCCTTGGGTCATGGCGCGCGCAGAGTCGATTCGCCGGACGGGGCGGAGGATCGAAGGAACGGGACCCCGAACAGGGGCTAGGTTCCCTGCGCCGGTGCGAAGGATTATGTGCCGCGGGTTTGTGTGGCCCGTTCCTTGCTGCGCGCGGTCGGAGGCTCCTGTGTGCAACCGTACGTACAAGTGGTCACGTGAAGGCCCAGCTCCTTGCGCGAGGCCCTCGGTTCCTTGTGCGACGTGGCGCCATGTTCACGTCTGGCCCCACGTGTAAAAGTGGCAACGGTTATAGGTCAAGTTGCTCGCGCAAGCCCCATCGGTTCCTTGAGCGATGCGGTTTGACCGTTCACGCGTATAACATCGTATAGCCAAACCAATGGATAATCGCCACGATCAGGCCCAGTTCGTCGCGCGAGCCCCCCCCACCACCCTCGCTCGGTTTTCACCATTCAGTCTTGGAGATGAACTTGGCAGTTCCCTATTTGGTTTTGTTTTGCGCACGGGATAGCGCGCGCGCCCGCACGTACGCGCGCGTACGCACGCGCGCGCAAGAAGAAACATGTTGCCTCACAGTGCGACATATCATCTCGAGGCCTTCACAGCACCGATGAAACAATTGGTTTTCACCACTCAGCTTTTGAACTTACAATTGTCATTCTCTGTTCGTTTTTGCATTGCGCACGCGATCGGGCGGGCAGACCCTAGCGGGCGGGTCGGGAAGGCGGGCCCAGGCGGTTGGCCAGGTCGAGCAGGCGGGCTGCTGAAGCGTGAGTCCCACATGAATCGCGAGGAAGTCTCAACCGATAGCGCGATTTCCAAGTAAACCGTGGGGAAAGCCAAAGCGAAAACGTGATTCCTGAGTGTCGAGGCGCAGCGTCTGAATCAAGTGGGAAAACGTCCCACGCGAGAGCGGGATGCCTGCATACATTGTGAGAAAGTCCCGCGCGAGAGCGAGATGTCGGAATACATCATTGCGAGGAAGCATCATGCGGGAACCGTTGTTGTTGTAGCCCGAGGGGCAACTGAGTGCGTAGATTTCGAATAAAAAAATAAAGATTATCCCAGTGCGACCCTACCTAGGAGTTGGAGCATCTAGGAAAGCAACATCTACATCTAAACCGACAGCTATATTAACATCTACTACATCTACATCTACATCTACATCTACACCTACACCTACATCCACATCTACACCTACACCTACCTCTACATCTACATCTACACTTTCGCATTGGTTGTGAATTTGCTTTGCATTGCCTTGCCTTTGCTTTTGCTGTTGTTGTTGCTGTTGCTTTTGCGTTGCTTTTGTTTTTGCGTTTGCTTGATGTGTTTGCTATGTTATGTTATGCTATGCTATGCTACGCTATGATATGCTGCACTATGCTTTGCTATGCTATGCTATGTTATGCTGCGCTATGTTATGCTATGATATACTATGATATGCTGCGCTATGATATGCTATGTTATGCTATGGTGCGCTATGCTATGTTATGCTATGCTGTGCTGTGCTATGCTAAGCTAACCTATGCTATGCTATGATGCGCTTTGATATGCTATGATATGCTATGCTTTTGCTATGCTATGCTGCGCTATGCTAGGCTGCGCTATGATATGCTATGCTATGATATGGTGCGCTATGCCAATGCTAAGCTGAGCTAAGCTAAGCTAAGCTAAGCTAAGCGAATCTAAGGTAGGTTAAGATAAGTTAAACTAAGCTAAGCTAGGCTAAGCTAAGCTAAGCTACGTTAAGCCAGGCTAAGCTAAGATGAGAGAAGCAAAGCTAAGCTAAGCAAAGTTAAACTAAGCTAGGCTAGGCTAGGCTAAGCTAAGCTAAGCTAAGTTAAGCTAGGCTAAGCTAAGATGAGATAAGCAAAACTAAGTTAAGGGGGCGCAGCTGGGGGAACCGCGGGGCGGATACTGGGGGAACCGCCCGGGGCGCTTTCCACTGCCCGGCCCCTTTCTGCCCAGAGAGTAAGAACCCTTCTAGGCAGAGCCTAGGTAGGGAACAAGATGCGAACCCCGACGGGCGCACATTAATTGAAATTACTCAATGCACCGGTGGGGGGATCAACATCAATTGCGCTTCATGAGTGAGCAGGTTATAACTTTCATTGTCATTTCTTTTTTGATTACTATTACTATTACTTCCAATAATACTACTACAACTGTTGCTGCTACTACTACGACTACTACTTCTACTACTACGACTTGTACAGCTAATCTGATTACGACGACTGCTACCAATACTACGACTTTTACTACTACTACTACTACTACTACTACTACTACTACTACTACTACTACTACTATTTCTATTACTACGACTATTGCTACTAGCACTACTATTATTTCTACTGCTACTACTACTACTACTACTACTACTAATACTACTACTACTACTACTACTACTACTACTACTACTACTACCGCTCCTATATGTATCACTATCAAACGTACCATTGCGACCCGTACGGTTACCATTGTTATTGCTCCTGCTACTGCTACTCTGATTACTATTTCGATCACCATTGATAGGAATACTAGTAGTACGGTTACTACTGCTCCTACTGCTACAAATACTACTGCTACTCCTACTGATACTACTACTCCTACTACTACTACTACTACTACTACTACTACTACTACTACGACTATTATTATTACTACTACTACTACGTCATATCGTATGAATTTCATTGATGCCATTCAAATGATGAGTCTAGTACTACTACTACTACTACTACTACTACTACTACTACTACTGCTGCTACTACTACTACTACTTACGACTACTACGACTACGGCTCCTATCACTACTAGTACTCCTATTGCGACTACGACTACTACTACTACTACTACTACCAATTCGACTACTACTACTACTTACTACTACTACTACTGCTACTGCTACTGCTACTACTACTACTACTACTACTACTACAACTACTACTACTACTACTACTACCGCCACTACGACTACTACTACTACTACTACTACTACTACTACTACTACTACTACTACTACCACTACTACTACTACTACTACTACTACGACTACTATTACTGCTACCACCGCACCCACTGTTACTGCTATTACTACTACTACTAGTACTACTATTACCAC